GCATATAGAGTTTCAATTCATTATAATATTCAAAGATAGAATATTAATTTTGCTTATGCCTAAAATTTGTATTTAAAAGCAAGGAGGCCATGAAGACAAATGTCACCTGGCTTCTTGTCTGCATAAATTTACTGTTTTACTTTTGATGTTGAATAATAAGTGTGAGAGTATGTCACCCCCAATCAGCATGTCACCAACTCTTAAAATGGCTATGGACATTTTTGGTCCCACTTCAGAAACAATCAGTATTTGCAAAAGAACATTTATGGCCTATTGTATTAATGGTGTGCTGATCACAAGAAAAACATTTTTAAATGAAATTTTTTCACATTATAAGGGAAATAAATTTACATTACGAAAAGAGAAAGCTGGAACCATTAAATATGAAAACCCATATCCCATTACTCCACCTGCCTTCTCAACCTGTTGATTTACCAGGAATGTCACCCCCAGCCATTCCTAAAAATGACTTGTTCAAAAACTGTGTAACCTTGCAGACTTGGCTAAAGTGCTAAGACTTCCTTAAAGCTTTTCCATTTGTCAGAGGAAGTAAATCAGAGATAGTAGAACAATCAGTAGGCCATTGCAATGGCCCGTGAAAGATAATGAAGCCCTATTTAAGTAGTAGGCATGTGGTGGAAAGGAAGTGTTTCAGAGATGTTGCAGAGGTTGCTGTCGTTGGGGAGGGAGGTGGGAAGGGGGTGAGAGGAATCCAGAACTGGCTCCACAGTCGATATAAAGCAATATATATAGCAAACAATAATATATAAGCAAGCTTTTTTTTAGTTCAGGTATCTCAATTCACTGGCAAAATTCTCCCCGTGCTGTCTGATCCTCTGTCATTGGATTCTTTACATTACTGTACTAAGCTTTGCCAACAAGCTCCTCGTACCAGCCCTGGATCTGAACTTGACCCTCTTCTTCCTCTTCCTAATCAACTATGTTACCTTTGTGCTCTGATGCCTTCAAGTCTTGTACTGCTCCCTGGTTTTTCTCATTTAAAAGGACTGAGATACTTGTCTAAAAGATGGGCATTATGATTGTGGTATGCTTTCAATTAATGTGCTATGTAAGCCCCTTTAGGGGCAAGGCTGCACGATGCTTGAGTAACTTTCTTTCTATTATGAATGCCTCCCTAACAGACATGGTTTGTAAATCTTTGTTAATCTGTAAAGAGAACATTCGAGCACCTTTTCTGTCCTGCTGATGTGTAAGGGCTATTTTTAATTTTTGTTCTTTGCTCTTTTTCTGTGCTTGTGATTTTAAAGGTGCCAGACTGACTGCCCTCCAGCCTGGTGTCCCCGATTTCTCCTAAGAATAGGAAAAAGACAGGAGACAGCCAAGCTGGTCGTGTCTGGGTCCAGCATATTAGCCTGACCTGCTCTGGAAGAATATTCTCCAAAATATAAAGGAGAAGATGTTTCCTTATGAATATAGTCCATCTGCTTTCATAACTGAGAAGACAAAACCTAGTTGTGCCAGCACCAAGTCACTGCAGAGTTTTTGGGTCCACTAAGCCCAGCCACTCATTCTTTCTTGGAAGAAACTAGAATGGTTTTCTCTCTTCCATCCCCACCTGTCAGAATTCCATCCTTTAAGGTCAGGCTTAAATGCCTCATTCTCCACAAAACCTTTCTTGAGTCCTCTCAGATAAGATTTTCCTCTCTCATCTCTATGGCACTTTCTCATGTGACTACACATTTTTTCGTGTAATTGTAGGACGTATATAGTCTCGTAATGACTGGAAAGGACACTGACATTGTCTAATCCATTTTTGTATATCATACAGAAGCAGAATATAGTACTGGGCAAAGAATAAATACCTGGCGAATGTCTGCTGAACAGCAGTGAGAACTCCAAAGCTTATCTTTTCAGCCTGACCTTTAGGGCTCTGCTCTGACCTTTCTCTCTAACCAGTGATTGAAATTATCCCAGATCCTCATGGGTAGCTCTCAAATTCTCCATAAACAACGTAGGCTCAGGCTCTTGGATTCCAGATATTACTCTTTGGGCAGCCACAGTCTGAATCAGAATTGCTACCTCTGCCTGCCTCGTAGACCACCATAACCAATAGTTGGTAACATTTGGCCAGAATAATTTTTTCCCTAAGAGTCGTCCACAGATCACTGATAGTCCCTGATGGACTATCAAGGAGTCCAGTTTGGCATCTAGAAAGGGAAAGAATAATAAATAAAAATAATTTCGTTGACCTGCATTTAATAAGTTTAAAATGTAAAATTATAATTTTCACAGGAATCCAATATGCTCTTAATAATCATCACATTCTTAAAGATTGCACCTGTACCACAAAAACTGTGTTGATTGATGTTTAACCAGTGTTCAGCGACTGTGCTGTTCAGCTCAGACTATTTTCGTGTCATTAGTATATTTTTTCTGCTCCTGCTAAACCTACATTTTTCATTTTTACTATTGTATTGCATTATTTCTTCAGTTCAGCAAAATAGATCAGTGATTTGAATATGATTCATTGAAGGTGGAAAAAAATAGCAATAAAGATAATACCATAAATACTGCTTCAGATTAATATTACCAATGTAAATTTTAGTGAACAGGATTCCAATATAAATATTGGAAATGAATTAGTACATACTGAGACAAACGTGATGATTTTGCATAAGCAGTTGAAAAAGAAAAGTTTGAATACTAAGTATGATGATGGCTCTTTAAAAATTAGACTTTATGGGGGTGCTGGCCCGGTGGCATAGTGGTTAAGTTCATGCACTCCGCTTCAGTGGCCCAGGGTTCACGGGTTCGGATCCCGGGTGCAGACCCACACACTGCTCATCAAGCCGTGCTGTGGTTGCATCCCACATATCAAAAAAAAAAAAGAAAAAATAGAGGACGATTGGCACAGATGTTAGCTTAGGGACGATCTTCCTCAGGCAAACAAAGAGGAAGATTGGCAAGAGATGTTAGCTCAGGACCAATCTTCCTCACACACACACACACACACACACACACACACACACACACACACAAATTAGACTTTATGGATTGATGTAATCCCCAAAATGTTTTCTGTAATGAAATGTTGTCAGATGGTGGCATGAAGCTCTCAGAATTTTAGTATCATTTTCAAACACAGCATAGTGAACTTTCTAGTAAACCAATTAAGGTGTTTTTGCCATATGAAATAACCTAATTTTGTTACTAAAGACAATGAAAGTCTAAAATTTTAAAGGCACCTTTCTAGAATATAAGAATATAAGAAAAACATCTTATAATAGAAACAGGTACAAGTTAACTCTTGGATAGAAGTTTGTAAATCAAGCCACAAAATTTATTACAAATATTATACATCAGTTTTTATCAAACGTGAAGATATCAAGACTTCATAATATTATCAACTATAGTGGAGGCAGCTCAGTTTCCAAGAGTTTAACTCTTTTTCCAGCACTTGATATTTCTTATTCCTTAGGGGGAAAAAATGATGTATAGTTTGGGCTATATTTTAAAGATGCATTCAAATCCTGCAACAGAATATGAAGAAATACTTTCTAGGGCCAATGCAACCAGAGAGGATTAGAAATATATTTGCCTATTTTCTCCCAAGTTGAAACATTTAGCCTTCCCATTTTTAGGTGTGAAACAGTTGTCAATCCACTGTGATGGAGTGTTGAAAGCAGTCTCCAGCGAGAAATCTCTCCATAATGTCAGCTCTGTGTTCAATCCTGATGAACAGAACTAGGCAGGGGCAGAGAACACAGTGGGTAAGATCCTGGAGCTGGACTGCTTGGGTTTGAAGTTAGTTAACCATTCTTGTGACTCAGTTTCCTCATCTGTAATATAGAGATAATAACGGTATCTGTCACATAGGTGGTTGTGAATATGAAATAAGTTAATGTGTAAAAAGGGCCTAGAAAATGCCTGATACATGTGAAGCACTAAATTTTCTATAGCTTACCTGTAAAAGCCTGCAGCTTCTTGCTGACATTTCCAGTAACTTCTAACTATTTGTTAAGATTTTTTACATTAGTAGAAATAGAGTATAAGAGGGGAAACTGGATGTGGATCTAACCTCTGGCTCAAGATTCTCATGACAGAGCCAGATATAGATACAGATTGCAACCAGCACAATGCCTCAAACTGACATAAATGTTTTCCTTAAATTATGTTTTATTGGTATTATTTAAAACTTAATGTGAATTTTTTTAAAGCTAAACCTAATGTCCATATGTGGTCCCATAAATTAATTTAAGAATGCTAACACTTTGCAGAACCCGGGGCCATGAGGGACTCAAAACCCTGTAGTATGTAGGACTGTTGCAGGATTTAGGGATGTTAAAACTAAGAACAGACTTGAAGGCAATGCTAACTGAATTGTAATATCTTAGAGGTTAGTAAATATAAGAGATGAGACTTGTTCCATGAGACCCTAAAAGACAGAACTGGAACTATTGGATAGCAGTTAAACTGAGGAGGCATTCCGACTCACTATAAAAAAGAACTTTCTAGCAGTCAGAGCTATCTGAAAATAAAAGGGACTGCCTTTTAATCTGCCCAACACCGAGGGCTGGATGCAGAGGTTTTACAACCCAGGCTTTTGTGAAAGGAATTGAAGTTTGAGTTTGGACCCAGTTCCCTCACAGTCTAACAAGATGAGGAGAAGGCTTTCCTAGACTGTGCCTTCCACTCCTACCATCCTGAGTCATGTTCCTCTTACACTTGAGAATGAGATTAGAGGCAGAGCACTGGCCTCGATGTCAGGAGACCTGAGTCCTACTCTGTCACTTTCTGTGGGAGCTTGGCTGTGAGAATCAACACCTCAACTGACTTGTAAAATCCCCATCACTCCTGCCCTATGTGGAATAGAGGTGGCTAATGCTGGTGATGTTGCTTGTGATAGTGATGTCAGTAGTGGTGGTCCTATTGCTGCTGCTGACATTATGAATCTGCTGTCTCCCCCATGTTGGCTTCTTTAGAAGGACTGAAGGTATTCTTTGGTGTGTTCTTGACAGTCAATCCCTTTTTTGTTTCAGGCCGCTGTGCTCGCTGTGGGGAAAACGTAGTTGGGGAAGGTACAGGATGCACTGCCATGGATCAGGTCTTCCACGTGGATTGTTTTACCTGCATCATCTGCAGCAACAAGCTCCGAGGGCAGCCCTTCTATGCCGTGGAGAAGAAAGCCTACTGCGAGCCCTGCTACATTGTAAGTTCAGATTTGATCCTCAGGTGCTTTGCAAAGATGTCTTCTTTGGCAAAATGCCAATCACTCCAGACAGAATGTAGCCATCAGATCTTTACTTCTCCCCAGACTACAAAATACACGTGTGTGTAACTTAACATATCTTAATTTTTTCCATATGTTCATATGAAGTCAGAAAGGGGTGCGTTGGGATAGGGCTGCCATTCAATTAGTGGTCTGCTGGGAAGATCATCACCCAGTGGCTTTCAAGCATGTGTGTGCAAGTTAGCATGTTCTCTCTCGAAGCATCAGAAAGTTTCCCAAGTAGCAGGGTCATACCTCTTGTTATTAGGTCTCACTCTGTACTTGAAGTGGTATTTGTAGAGAAATGTTGCAGGGCCTCTGGTCTTGTCAATGCTCTTTCAAACTCCTGAGCCCTTTGAATCACCTCTTTTCTACCCAGAATATTTCTTTCCTAACATATCTAGTAGGTTTTCAATGATGCAAACAGAGAAACCCTTTATTGTAGAACACCTTAAAGGGAAATGAATCGTAATGCTGACTGAGCTAAAAATTGTTTTCTCTTTTTTTAAGAACATAACAACTATATTAATAACATAGCTGAGTGCTCAAAAATGCTATGGTCACGTTATCTTAGTTTTTTGCCAGGGTACTTAAATCTACACATTAAGCTGTCTTCCAATGGAGCAATTTGATGAATGAACATAAATTTTTTTTAATCTAAAGTAAATTTCTTTGCAATCCTTCTGCTTGATTTTAAACCTTTGTTTAACACTTGTTAGTGGGAAAAGTAGTGCCTTTTTGCAAACCCTCAAAAGAGGCATGATTTGGCCTTCTGTGCCCAGGCATTTCAACATAAAACAAGCCTTGGGTGCAAGGTATTGGGACTTATACGTAGCTTTGGAGATCCCCAAGGTTCAAGCTTATTGCAGAAGTTTCTGGCCTCATTGGTATTTTCCCATAACCTGACAGCTCTAATTCATTGCAGCCCTGGAGTCTGTAGCACAGATCTGAAAGTTCAAGATTAAGATCTGGCAGGATTAAATATTGTTTTGCATCTCTTAGGTCCCATTTTATTTCATTTTCCTCCCCAAAGGCAACTTAAACGCATATAGCATCATTATAGTGCCACACAATGTTGGAGCTGGAAAAAAAAGTCTTAAGATCATTTGTCTAACTCCTCTCCTTACAAGTGAGAGTAAGAGATGCAAAGAGGAAGAAAGGAACTTTTTATGTTCTCTTATTAGTGTCAGAGCCAGGCTATATCCAGTTGTTCACACCCCTAGTCCCATATTCTTTGCAAACACCACATGGTTTACTTTGTCCAGAACATAAACACAAACACAGTAATGTCCTATTGATCTAGAAGGAACAATTGCATATCAGGAAAAGTGTAGTGGACAAAAGCTTACCTCTTCATTAAATAAGAATATTTCACATATTGCCCTTTGAAATCTTTGTTGAAAAGAGAAAATTATAAAATTCCCTGCCTTTGTAAACAGACTGTGCAGACTGTCATTCACAATGACTTAGGACCACCACTATGAAATTACTTATTGCAGTGAGCTCTGTAACAGTGATGTCAGCAGAGCCTATAGAAGCACCTATGACTGCTTGTCCTTACACTAAGTGACCACATACCGCTGTTTTTTTTGTAGTTCTTGTGTCTGTTTTTCATCCTTTTTTGACTACATTGTTGATTCTTGCTACTTTAATGATGCTCCTGTGGCAGCCTCCTTCGGTTTTTCTTTTGTCGCTTATGAGGTAGGAATCATATGAACAATATTGGAAAACAGTATAACATGATGTGAAGAACATGGGTTTGAATTTGGTTTCATCACTTAATGCTTTGTTTCCTTGGGAGAGTTATTTGATCTTTCTAAGCCTCAATTTCCTCATCTGTACAGTGGGGATGATGGCAGGATGTTCCCCAAAGGCTTATAAAGATGAAATGAGGCAATCCTTATAAAGCACACTTGGCTTGCTGAGGGAATGGTAGCAGAGTAAATGTTATTCTGAGATTAATTTTGATAGGATTTTAGCCTATTTAGTATTTCTGAACACGAGGACATTACATGTGCAGTGAGATTCATTGGGCTTTACGAAATTGTTTTAACCTCTTAGACATACCCCTCTCCCATTTTTAAATGCTTTGCTTGCTCTCCTGAGTGTGTAATGAGACCAAAGAGAGTCTAATCTGACTAAATTATGGGTTTCTACAGTGTGTGGGCTCAGGTTTCGATTTCCATTCCAGGCGTAGGAGCTCAGTGATTCTTTAGGATGCAGCTCCTCTGCTATGGTTGACTGATGCTATACTATGCTTATGACAAGGAAGATATTCAGTCACATCCTTGGAAGACCTGGGTGAATGCAAATAATGGAAATTCTTACCATCCTTTTTGACTTCTCTCCCTCATAAGAACCTTTAATCAAGATGTTTCTTTAATGAGATCTATCCATGGTGACTCTAAAATGTAATTTAATTCTTACCAGAATTCAGTTAAGCTTTACTCAGAGACCCTTGTTCAGTATTGATCTCAGAGTTCAGTACAGCCCTCAAGCCCTCAGATGGATGTTTTTGCATTTTAATTTCCTCTGAACTTTCATAAGTCCGATAAGCTGCCACACTAGAAATATAAAGAGTTCTCTTTGGGGGGAATTGGGGAAGCTGGGAGAATAAAATGAAGTAGGTTTGTTTTAAAGCTAGAGTTTGCATTAAGGAGGACGCCAGGACTGTGTGTATCTCTCTTGGAACCAAAGCCCTTAGAACAGGAAGCACCTACGATGTCATCCAGTCAAGTTTCTTCTTGTTCCATCGGTGGAAACTGATGTCTGAAAGACATCCTGTGCAAAGCAGAGAGAACCCAGGCCCTGGGTCTCAGTCTGTACCTTTTTTTTTTTATTGATGGAATAAGATATTGAAGATAATGGTTTAGTTAATTATTTCTGTGTAAGGACCACCATGTTTGATGCTCTGAGGCCAGGAAGAGACTAGTCTAATATAAATTTAATTTATTCTTGCCTAAATTGATCAACTTTAAATCATATTTAAATTAAACATTTACATAATTTTCAGGGAAAATATGCCAATAATATCTTCATCTTTGCTTCAATGATTATTGGTGTTTTCCTATAGTCTTTTAATTCCTTAATCCTTGCACATACATAGCTGTAATTAAACAAATTTGATTTCCTAAGGCATTGTAGTTCTCTTTCATCATTTTTTACATGTTTTGTTTTGTACTCTACTGATTGAATTAATATAAATATGTATATAGCTTTCCATTGTTAATAATCTTCATTTTTAGCTTTTTATCTGTTTAGTTTTACATTATGTTTATACACTACATTTTAAAATCATTTGCCACTAGAAAAGTATTGGGTATTTTCTGATCTTTTAGTATTATAAATAACATACCTATAAATAACTGAGTAAAATTTTTATATTTTTCTATTTTAAATTACTTCCTCAGCATAAATTCTTAGATTTATATTACTGAGTTTACTTTATGGCAATTTGGAGAACTTTTGCTACATTTCTTTAGAAATATTTTTTCAATTTACAGAACCATCAGCAATAATGAGAAACTATGTTAAAAGTATAACCTATCTACTATTGAAGAGGTTTATTTATATTTATTTTGAACCAATTTAATAAGTGCTTTATGTGATAGTTATTTTAATTTAATTTTGTGTAATTATTAGCAAAATCAACAAGATGCTTTTCTATTTTGGTGATAGATTTCTTAAAATTTTAGTTTTGATTATTCTTACGGATTTATATAAGTGAACAGATTAAAATTAAGAGCACTAAGCTTCCTTGGGAAATAAAGTGACATAAATTGAATATATTGGTTCTAATCTTTGCTCTCCTGGTGTGACCTTGGGTAAGTCATTTAATTTCTGAGGACCGTTTATTAAAGGGAGATATTAACTTCCTCTCTTTCTTCAAAGAGAAGGAATGAATAAGTGTTATATTTTATAAATCATGAAGTTGTTTACTAATAGAAGGGCTTAATCTGATTAATAACATTATTATCATTGCTTTCTCCCTTAGCATAATCTGATACAATTTAGAAATGCTCTAAGTTTAGGGTAATTTCATAGCGGCAGTTGCTATGGAAATACTGAAGTAAATTAGATGTCATAGAAGGAATATGAGGACATGTATGAGAAGACGACGTTCATGCTTCACGTAAGAAGATTTTAACATTGGTATGCGTATGAAGGACAGCAACAGTGCCCCCCACTTACATGTCCTTCTGCTTTTAATGAGACGGGTTTACCCGTAAGTGTAGATTTACAAAGGAATTGCTGTGTTCTTAGCATTGCCAAGGAGTCTGGGCCTACAGACACAGCACAACAGAGATTCTCAGGAAAAGTCTGTTTATGAAATGGCAGCCAAGGTTCTTCCCCTAAACCAGGGCTCTTACTCAGAGCGGATCCAATCCAACTCCTAACTCTCCAGCAGTGGAAGTTGGTACAGACATTTTTATTAGAGTTAAAATCCAAGTGATTAAAAGGTCTCAGGAAATAGGAGGCCAACTCCACGGGAGACTAAACACTGTAAGGTTCCTGAATCTGACGCATAAGTGGCCAAGACATTAGCGGCCTTTTGCTCCCTTATGTTGCTAAATGGCTACAGTTAAAACATTCTAACTTTTCAACCTACATTAAGAGGTAGGTTTTGTACCTCTGTGGGAAAGTTGTCCTTTTATACGCTCAATTGCTCCTAATAAAATGTTTTAAAAGCAGTTATGGCCGGTGCTTTATATGAGTGTTGGGAAATGAACTGAGAGTTTGGACTAAACGTGAAAAATCCACATGAATTTCCCTCCTTCTCTTTTCTTAATTGCCCACCTTTGCTCTCTCATCTCCAAGGAGTGTCTGTCTCTCTTTATGACACCACACACACACACACACACACATACACACTTTCTTCTTGATGTTACACTAGCATCCCCCAAGCACTCTCCCAAGAAGGAGAAAATGGTTCAGGAAAG